TTTTACCTAATTTCGTATAACATGCTGGCGCGTATTTTGCGCAAATTTCTTAAAAACCTCCACATAACTATTTCTTATTCCTGTCATCTTTAACATTGAATTAGAATGTTTTGAACTTAAAAATGCCTGCTGAACTACTTTCGATGAGTCTTAATGCCTGGAAAACAATAAATAGGGGATATACTAGTATAGGGGGTAAATAGTATTGTGAATATAAGGGCGACGGTAATGCTTGCCAGCATTGTGATATAGTAAGTAGTATAGTAAAAAGCAATTTCTATTCACCGATAGTTTTGTTCAGCCTCAAACAGAATTCCTTCATTAAACCGAATTCTCTCATTAGAAACAAGCGGTGATGATAAAAATAGCGATGTCAGCAGTTCTGATGGCAAAGACAGCTTCGATACTGACGAAGGTTAGAAGTCCGAGGGCGGGGACCGGGGGGGGGGGGGGGAGTGGTAACGCTATAGTGTTTTGTTTAGTAAATTGGGCATTGATGATTGATCATCACAAGATACTTTATAAATGCTTTTGATTTTGTTCACGGGAACAAAATTCAGTTATGACACTACAATTATAAATTATATTACTATCTAAGCGTATTAGTCACCTAATAACCTGTCAGTTGGTTTAATTGAGTAACCAACAGGGTGGAGATACGTAACACGGAACGAGAACCTACCATTCCACCTTGAATCTACCCCCCTTGAAATAAGTACTGCAAGTCTTGTGGGAAGTGGAGATGAGGTGGCAGTGTTCTTTTCCTCTCAGATGAGCTTGGCAGGAGGAGTCGTGATTTCCTTGACACCCTACCCCACCTACCACCTCCCCAGGTGCGACTTAGACAAGACTTATTTCACAAATCCCTTGCCATCAGGTAGTGGTTTAAAGGTTTTCAGGATTACAAAAGAACACATATCCAGCTCGAGTGTGAGTGTAGTTATACACTGTAATGACAAGGAAGTGGTGAGAGTTCTCTTGACACACTCCTCGTGTGGGAAGTTCTGGAGCGAGTACTGGACCAAAGACACAGCGTACATTGAATTTGAGTCCTTCGACAAAGCCTCTCATTTTTACAGAGAGTATAAACCACGTCCAGGTAATTTAAATTAATTAATTACTATGCGTTATTCATATTGTATCTAGAAAACGTGATAGTAACTAGAATACGTATAAATAGTAACTAGAATTCGAAATATTAACTAGTACATAGTAACATTGGCTAATAAAAACTATGGATTAGGGTTTTCGTCTATATTTATACAATGTGGTGGTAAAATATTTCTTTTATCTTCAGTAATATGTTCGAGTTTAAATCCCTTCTGGGACAATATAACAACTGATAAAGAATTTCCTGTTGACGTTGGGACGGAACTGCAATTGAATCTGAGCTGCGAAGAGGGATATGAACACAAAGGATCTCATAGTGCAACATGCGAAAGAGATGGACAACTCGGATATGCGATCGAACCATTCTGTAGTAAGGGTTAGTTATAGTAACTAAAACAGTAAATTCCTTTATTATATATACTGATACACTTCTGTTTCACGGATAATAATCTTAAAATTACAAATATAGAGTATAGTAACTTGAAACTAAAATATCTGGGAAGAAGCAAACGGCGATGATAAATGTCGAAATAAATGGCGTGGACATATCTGAAACAGTGAATGGTGAAACTGACGGCCGTCCCCGTCCCCGTCCCCGTCCCCGTCCCCGTCCCCGTCCCCGTCCCCGTCCCCGTCCCCGTCCCCGTCCCCGTCCCCGTCCCCGTCCCCGTCCCCGTCCCCGTCCCCGTCCCCGTCCCCGTCCCCGTCCCCGTCCCCGTCCCCGTCACCGTCCCCGTCCCCGTCCCCGTCCCCGTCCCCGTCCCCGTCCCCGTCCCCGTCCCCGTCCCCGTCCCCGTCCCCGTCCCCGTCCCCGTCCCCGTCCCCGTCCCCGTCCCCGTCCCCGTCCCCGTCCCCGTCCCCGTCCCCGTCCCCGTCCCCGTCCCCGTCCTTGTCATTTATTCAATATGATAATAAACTACTTCTTTTATCCTCAGTGAAATGCACGGGCTTAAAGCCCTTCTGGAATAACATATTAACAACTGATAAAGAATTTCCACTCGACGTTGGGACGGTACTGTATTTGAGCTGCGAAGAGGGATATGAACACAAAGGAAGTGACAGCGTGACATGTGGAAGAGATGGACAACTTGGATATTTAAAGGAACCACTCTGTAGTGATGGTTAGTTATACGGTTATTATAGTAGCTTATTATATACAGTTATATAGACATAGTTGCTAAAAGTTAAAACAGTAAATTTCTTTATTATTTGTACAATCCTGCCTCCTGGATAGTTATAATGATATGAGCCACCATAAATTGCTCAAAAACTTTAAATATTATGATCAATTATGATACATGATACCTTGTGACAAAAATACTTCAGAAACTTCTGGAATAAAAGACGATCTGCCATGGATAGTGGGAGGAATATCTGTACTTGTCACCGCACTCTTCACAACATTTGTCACGTATATTTGCTTAAGAAAAGTACTTAATAAAATCATGGAAATGGATAATGATATTATAGCTGCCGCTGATAATATGATTTGAGGAACTTGTGCTGGACCAACTTTAAAATTATTTGAATTAAAACTGATTACTTGACTGGTCCAAGAAAGTGACTCGACTCCTTGACCGGATTATACATAATTATAATAACCGTGCAAGGACCGTCCAGTAATTTAATTAATTTGTAATGTATAATACCTTACCGGACTTTATTTGAACGGACATTTATTGGACGCTGGAGGCCCTAGCGTTCATTGTTAAGTCCGTTCAAGTAAAGTCAGAAAAGGTATATATACCTATAATAAATCTATATAGGCATATATACCTATATGTATAAATAATAGTTAAATTAAATACATGTCTTCAAGCGTTCATTTTAATGTTCGTTCAAAGTTATGTCCGTTCAAAGTTTTATCTGGTCGGATAACGTCCGATAACGTAACTTTAACTTAAAGCTAAGATTCCAAATTATTTTATCGATAGTTGTGCCATTCCAGTAACATATTCTGTTTCATACCCAATACCCATCAACATTATCTTTGTCCAATGTTAATGGACTGACCTGGGGACATCCCATTTGTAATTAGGTCATATTATTATACGGCAGAATGCGGAAATCCTTCTGTTCATTTGAATCAGAATATTTTTCCTTGATAAATTAAACGAAAAATATTACATTTCCGTATTTTTTATGAAAATCTTTTCAAAATTTACATACAATATAACATGTGGCGCAAAATAAAATCAAAATATAACTGATAGCGATCTCTAAAGGACAGATGTATGTAAATTTCAAAGGGAAACCAGAACGCAGTAAAATTGTAGTCGAAACCACACCGCACAAGCCTAGTCCCTGGTAAATGAAAATCAATCAAATAATATGTTGATAAAAAATCATATCCCATCAGTCCTTCTCGGAGCTTACGATCTTATTGTTCCTTATAACATGAACTCGCTGAGGCTCCAATTCCCGTTTCTGCTTAACTTCAAGAACTAACTTCCTGAAGGCAGCTCTCTGCTCGGCTGATCGGTCGGGGCTGATACTGAGTCATACCCCTCCACTTCTCTTAGTTTTCTCGCTTTGCTCAACACTTGCCGCACATGATCTGAGGCGCTGAGAGTGAACTTGATAGGTTTAACGGCTGGTCCTCCATCTGATACAGTTCTCCCCATCCTACAGCAAGAAACGATTCGAGGTTTCTCATCTATGTTTTCTAGTACCTCAAGCACTCTCTTTTCCAGGATTTCTTCACTCTTTTCTGGTAGACCGTAGATGACCAGATTTTGACTACGATCCTCTTCCTCGGAGGCACGTTTCAGAGCAGCTTTCATTTTCTTAGGCGCTAGCGCCTTGCTGCATGAATTCTTCACAACTGACGACCAGGCTTTGAGTTCGCTTTTCACTGTCGTCTGAACAGAGGTCAAATCTTCACTTTTCTTCTCAAGCAATTGTCCTTGCAGTTTAATCACAGTGTTCTGATCTGCAATCTTTTCGTCCTTCAGTTGGTCGATTTCATCTTGTAGTTTGGTGGCTGAAAACAACAGCGGTGAACAATAACTGTCGAGAATGTCGATAAAAGTTTCCATCCAATCACACAGCGTAGCCTTGGTGATCTGAGGCTTGTTGAGCGTTTCTTTACGTAACACATTGGATTTCTGAACACCTGCCGCTTGACGCATATCGTTGAGTAGCATAATCTGAGCACCCAAAATCTGTTCAGCATACATTGATCTGAATTTGAGTGTAGAGTAATTCAACGCTATTTCATTGTCAAGATTCTCCAAGTATTTGTTAACCATGATGTACAATGTACACGCAGGGCCAGTTTAATATACACGAGTATATTATCTGCTACACAGTGAGAGCTGTTTAAACCGACGCAAAAGCAATTAACTGATAAGACAACTTGTATTTTTATAATTTTAATATGTAATACTAATTATAGTTGAGGCCAGGAAGGAAAAGGAAAATCTACGTCGATTTCTGGCAGTCTTAATTTCCTTTTTCTCTCAACAACCGTTCCCGGTTCATAAACATTCGGCAAATTCCGGAAACATGATATTGATCGATACCCGGATGGCCGGATGTTTCCGGTCCGACAGCGCAATAAGCCCCAACCCGATTGCAGTGTACCTAATAAGCGTTCCAAAAATTGGATTCTGTTAATATGTTTAGTTGTAAGTACGTTATAGTATAAAGTTGAGCTAATTTATAGTTCACGTTAATTTCGTTCTGTAGCATTTTTATCAGTGGGCCTTCCGAATGTATGTGTTTTCCATTAAAACGTGTGGTAAAATATTATTACAATTCGGAGTACGTTTTAGAGGATTGACAATATCCATGAAATTTTATGTTTGAGGTTGATGGATAATTTGATTTCTAAAATGCTGCACTTTTATCATATATTTACGTCTTTCATGAATAATAATCGCGTTTTTCACATTAAATCAGAAACAGCGTATACATCCGCGGATAAATATACAATACATAAAGATCTGAACAATAATTAAAGTTTGATTAATTTAAACTCATGATTCAAGAACACAAATTACCAGCACTCCAAACAAGGCGTACCGTTCAGTCAGTGTTTTTCTAAAAATACAACCTCGGCTCAATTGGTAATTAAATTAACGAACAACGTTATTTATCTCATATTTTATTCCTGAAGCTTAAATCTAATAAGGACACAATGTTCACCTGCAATGAACCATCGTGAAAGACATATCGACACCGTAAAATTTACTGCAGAATTGGGAAAACATTGCAGTTTGCGAGCTGTTACATTTAAAACTGATAATTATTTCATTTAACAAAATGTTAAAAGTTCGAGATAACAGATGAAATACTCTCACATGAATCCTAACGAGTCAACTGTGAAAAGTATGTAATACTGAAATTGAGCTACCCTATAAAGAGAAACTTCGAGAAGATAAAAACAATAAGTTTGTAACAGGGTATTATATTATGTTAACATTCTATAATAATAAGTCTATAAATAATATTATCTCCAGATTATGAATTACCAGTTCGGCTGTCCAGAAAATGAGAAGAGGAAGGAGTAAAGGCCGGCTGGCTAAAGATAATGATAACAGTTAAATCTGCCAAATGTGTCCATTCACAATTCATGTCCGTTTTAATTATAAGATAAACCAGGGAATCAGCTAATTGATTTGACAATCATTTGATATCAGAGCCCTCTCAAGTTTATTTTCTGCTTCCTCAACATTCGACAACAAAATATAAAAATCCCAAATCTTTTTATCGTCCACAATAATGTCCATATGGGTGTGATGAGGTCATGTGAATAGAAGTGACGTCACGTGATGAGATATGACGTCAGGTGAAAAGATATGACGTCATATGAAATGTGATGCCGTCACGAGTTATCAAGTTCTTCAACCGCTCAGTCTCAGAAAATGCCTCCTCCTACCGTAGCAGTTTATGGACGCACAGCAGAGTTCGTTTGCAGAGCTCTGCTTCTTCGCTTCAGCTTTTTCGCACTGTCTTTTCAGCTTACCGCACCCCTCTGAGAAGAGAAAAATGTTAAACACAGTTTTTAGAGCTGAGGAGCAAGCTGAAATTCAGACGTAACGTAGTGAAACCCCAGTACAAACAATATCAAGAAGGTTACAGACAAGCCAGAAATTGAATTAAAGATTTAAACAAAGTTGTTAATGTCCTTAAACTTTTAACGACTTAACTTAATCACATTTTCATTCTAATTACAAAGCTTTACTACGTGTTTAAAACAGTATTCTTGTAACTTACTTTTACTATGTTTACTGTAGTCAAACTCCGAGCACCTCTGCCAACGAAACCGAGTCTTGACCAAATGATAGTGTTCAAACATCCATTTGACGCAGGCGTTATCAAGATTATGATGATATCGATCCTGGCAAGCACCCGTAGCTAAATCATGGGGTCCCTCCTCAGGTTCAGTTCCCTCCTCGTCTTCCTCAGCTTCTTCTATTTTTTTATTGGGCCCTTGATAAAAAAAGGTAACTCTTTGAATCTCACATAACACCATTGCACAGCATGCCTTGTCCGTCTGATCACTTCCACATTGACTGGTGTAGTCGGAACACGTTGCTGAAATAATTTCAAAATTAGATCGTTTAAAAAAATTTGAAATATTTTAAATTATTTGAAACAAGTACTGAAGGAGGAATCGATCACTAAGCTTTTATTTTATATACTCAATCTTATGTCCATGTTTTAAACTAATATTTCCATGAACATAACAATTTTCAAACGCAAATCCAAAAAAAATGAAGGTAGATAACATTCATAACAACTAAAAAAGTAACTTACTTTTTTCAAACAACCCACTTTCATCATAACGATGATAATCAGCATCGTGACAAGATCTCCAACCCTCTTTATGTTTATGATAGTTATCTAACAACCAAGTAGCACAAGTTGATTTAGGATTTCCGGGGATTTGTTGGCTGGTAAAATTATAATGGCAGTTAAACGGTAGCGCTTGATCATCCGCTTCTGGGAACACAGTTAGCGGTTCGGTTGATCCTTCGGGGCGGGTTGTGTAGGGGGTTCCATCCTCAGCTTCCTCTTCTGATTCATCTGTAGTCGACTCAGGAAGTTGTCCTGAAGAGGTAATATCTTCTTCAAGGGGTAGCTGGGTTGAAGGATAATCAGACTCTGAATAATTTGTATCCTCTGCTTCCTCTTCTGATTCATCTGTAGTCGACTCAGGAAGTTGCACTGAAGAGCTAACATCTTCTTCAAGGGGTAGCTGGGTTGAAGGATAATCAGACTCTCCATTATTTTCATCCTCTGCTTCCTCTTCTGATTCATCTGTAGTCGACTCAGGAAGTTGCCCTGAAGAGCTAACATCTTCCTCAGGGGGTAGCTGGGTTGAAGGATAATCAGATTCTCCATCATTTTCATCCTCTGCTTCCTCTTCTGATTCATCTGTAGTCGACTCAGGAAGTTGTCCTGAAGAGGTAATATCTTCTTCAAGGGGTAGCTGGGTTGAAGGATAATCAGACTCTGAATAATTTTCATCCTCAGCTTCCTCTTCTGATTCATCTGTAGTCGACTCAGGAAGTTGCACTGAAGAGCTAACATCTTCTTCAAGGGGTAGCTGGGTTGAAGGATAATCAGACTCTCCATTATTTTCATCCTCTGCTTCCTCTTCTGATTCATCTGTAGTCGACTCAGGAAGTTGCCCTGAAGAGCTAACATCTTCTTCAAGGGGTAGCTGGGTTGAAGGATAATCAGACTCTCCATTATTTTCATCCTCTGCTTCCTCTTCTGATTCATCTGTAGTTGACTCAGGAAGTTGCACTGAAGAGCTAACATCTTCTTCAAGGGGTAGCTGGGTTGAAGGATAATCAGACTCTGAATAGTTTTCATCCTCTGCTTCCTCTTCTGATTCATCTGTAGTCGACTCAGGAAGTTGTCCTGAAGAGGTAACATCTTCCTCAGGGGGTAACTGTGTTGAAGGATAATCAGACTCTGTAGGAGTAGCTACACCGGTACTTCCATCCTTAACACGGAATTTCTGCAGGATATTAATCAGCTCTTCCATTTCTGAGGCAGCTTTGTCCGCCTCAGTAGATATGGATTTCATCCTAATGAAGGATTGATTTGCCCGTTCAATAATCAGTGACAAGCTCTCCAGACCTGCTCCCTCCGGAAACACCATATTCCCGAGGCTGCCATCAGCTCCAAGACTGCCATCACCTGTCTTATTCTCGAGGGTATAATGACCACTCTCACAAAGACAGAGGAGCGCAAACAAACTCAACGAAATATCAAGCAACATTCTAAATTCCTGTGGGTCTGACAAACCTTCTCTAATTACATCCCTCCCGTAGTTTGGATATTATTTATATACCGGGCTGTATGATATCGCTAGAGCTTGCTGCGTCACCCTACACACGCAGCTTCCACCCTAATTTCTACAGAGGAGGGATACGTTTAATACGTCAATTGAATCTTCAGCGGGTAGGGGTACAAGGGAGGGTCACGGATGTCGTAATTCAATATTATGTCATAGTGCCGGGTTACTGATTATTTGATTATGTGTTGCTTCAGCAGTATCGTAAACTTAGCATATTGCGCATATAATATATATATATATTGTGCATATAATATTATGTTAATAATAATATTGGTTTATAAAAAAGTCCAAGGTGTAAGATTGCATTTAGTATATAATTATAAATTATGTTTGGGTAAATCATGATCAAATGACAGATTTTTTAAACAAAAATTACAAACATCTTTAAATTACTGTTGATATTACGGCTGCCAAATATCTTAGTCTCAGAGAATGCTGTTGTTCTAATGTTAGTTTGTTACTCTCTGATGCATAATTAAATTACCATACTTCTATAAAGGGATAGATAGATAACTGGAATCAAGTTTGTTTAACTCTCATAAGAAACCAGATTGCCAACTTTCTTACTTTCCAAATGACATTTGGTGGCCACGCTCATCAAATTCGGAAGTGTGAATTGTAATATGTATAATATTATTATGTCAGATGTTTTAGGTTCTGTGACTTTTTTATAAGTTTATAGTGTGAATTAGACCCACCCGGCCGCCAACCCCATCAGATATTACCTGCAGCAGCCAGCTCCGAAAATAAACAAATTAACGACACCAGCAGTTTTTTCAAATTGCTTCACTACTCAACGTTTTTGTTTTACCTTCTCGAATCCAACGAGTAAAATTGGGAAGCTTATCTTATCTTATCTTATGAGGATTCGTTGCGACGCAACAAGGCCATCGAATGAGTCGACCACCTTTGTTATTTTACTTCGGCATTACCTGCATTACAATGTAAACCAGCACTTTCAAGGAAGAGCTTTACAAGAAGCCGAAGGATCGTTCCTAAGGCCATCAACGGTTAAAGCACTATACCACACTTTCTTCGCCCGAGGCTTCGCTGTGTTGATCAAGCACAGCTCCTCATTTAACCCTCACACCCGATTTCTCGAGCATTCGGCTTTATGAACCGTGGGGCTACATAGACCACTCGGGATCCTTAGCAGAGCGTCAACGACGCTCACCCCACGACTAGGCAGGCAGTGGGTTTCGAACTCGCAATCTTACGATTACAAATCCGATGATCAACCAACTACGCTACCTGGCTAGTATTTTTTGTTCGAAAAGTTTGACTTAGAACAAAAGAATCATACGTACATGCATATTCAATTTTCATAACGATTATTGAGCTTAGGTCAACGTTTAGGATAATATTTTAGTCACACAAAATGTATTATCTGCGGTCAATAATAATTGTATCGTTACTAATACTGGATCGACGGCGCCAACCTCTTTGACTTTATCCGCCGAATATTCGAGATTGTTGAGTAACACTAACACTTGCACTAACAGTCAGTATCAAGTGTCAAAAAATAATGACTATGAGTACTATTAGCTTACTGGAGCTAGCTAGACTACTAATACTATTGAAATACGGATTATAATCAATTGACCGATGCCGAGCATTTAATTGACCCATCGGGTTGATCATACGATCAATGAATTGGTGATGATTGTTGATTAAACTTAATGCTGAATGCATTGAATTTGGATACCGATATGTTTAATGTGAGTCGATTAGCTTAAAATAATAATTTACCTAGCTTGCTAGTCTAATTCTATTACTCGCTCCTCTCACGTCACAGTCACTTAATACGAGAATTAGCTCGCGTCGAAAAGGGCGTTGCGCATTGAGACTGGCGTGCCAGGTAAAATAATAATCATATCTGAATATCAGAAACTTCGCCGCATAATATTCTTACTGAGGAAGTTAAGCTTTGGCAAATATCCAATTGACAGACTCCAACTTCAAAGAAATTGCCGCTTGTAGTTGGAGCTAATTTCAACAACTGACAACTCGATTTTTCTGCTCCAGGGAGAAGTCGTTCTATTTAAAAATTAAAATACTGTCAAATTGTTATTATTCTAGAGGGTAAAAAAGAAAAAAAAGTTGCCGAAATTGCGCTCATTGCATTAATTTCCTTCAAACGTCATGAATTGTGAATAGAGATCAAATCTTTTACAATGTATTCAGATTCAGAATAAATACATCAATATTGGCTGTTGATTACGTCATTAAAAGGCAACTTGTACGAACACCGATGGGACATTAAGACAACATTAAGACAACATTAAGACAACAATAAGACAACATTAAGACAACATTAAGACAACAATAAGACAACGTTAACGCAACAAACACCAATAAGACAACAAACGATAAGACAACATTAAGACAACATTAAGACAACATTAAGACAACATTAAGACAACATTAAGGCAACATTAAAGCAAACATTAAGACAACATTAAGACAACATTAAGACAACATTAAGACAACATTAAGGCAACAATAAGACAACAATAAGACAAGATTAAGACAACAAACACCGATAAGACAACACAATAGGATCAAATATTAAGACAACATTAAGACAACATTAAGACAACATTAAGACAACTTGTACGAACACCGATGGGACATTAAGACAACATTAAGACAACATTAAGACAACAATAAGACAACATTAAGACAACATTAAGACAACAATAAGACAACGTTAACGCAACAAACACCAATAAGACAACAAACGATAAGACAACATTAAGACAACATTAAGACAACATTAAGACAACATTAAGACAACATTAAGGCAACATTAAAGCAAACATTAAGACAACATTAAGACAACATTAAGACAACATTAAGACAACATTAAGGCAACAATAAGACAACAATAAGACAAGATTAAGACAACAAACACCGATAAGACAACACAATAGGATCAAATATTAAGACAACATTAAGACAACATTAAGACAACATTAAGACAACATTAAGACAACATTAAGACAACAAACTCAATTAAGACAACATTAAGACAACATTAAGACAACATTAAGACAACAAACTCATTTAAGACAACATTAAAACAACAAATTCTTTAAAAACAACATTAAGACAACAAACTCGTTTAAGACTACATTAATGCAAAAAAATGTTTAGAATATGTAATATACGGCCGGGATTTCATTGCCGCAGTTAAAAAGGGTAGGATTATTACACACACAGATTTTTGAAATTATCTGTTAAGATACTTTGGACTGCTAGCCACCATGGCTCACGTGACTTTAAATGACATCTGGCTCACTCAACTTTTTACGATGCATCACATGTCGAATCACCTCAGATAATAATGTAACATCTTGTTAGCGATTCTCAGATCGCAGCTTGTAATTGTACAGTTCACGTCATGACCAGATCGTGTGGTATTAATGAGGGCCGTTGTTCGTGTTCTTATGGAATGTGGTATTAATCGAACAGTTCACGTCATGACCAGATCGTGTGGTATTAATGAGGGCCGTTGTTCGTGTTCTTATGGAATGTGGTATTAATCGAACAGTTCACGTCATGACCAGATCGTGTGGTATTAATGAGGGCCGTTGTTCGTGTTCTTATGGAATGTGGTATTAATCGAACAATTCACGTCATGATTAGATCGTGTGGTATTAATGAGGCCGATGGTCGTGTTCTGCTCACGTGACAAATAGTATAAAAAGAGGCCATCAAACCAACACTTTATCTAACGATACAACATGAACTCCCTTCCCTCCTACGAAGAGTTAAGACGCGGATCACTATCATCGGAAACGGAATGTCTACAGTACTGCTTGAATATCGGAATGCTGAGACCTTTCCAAACTTGTGAAGAGTGCAACAACTTTATGACCTTGAAGAAATACCCAACGAGCAAGTACACAGACGGCTACTGCTGGCAGTGTTCAGACACTTCTTCAGACATCGACCACTTCTGCTCAGTGAGAACCGGGAGTATCCTCCACAAACGCAAGCTACCCTTCTCCGTATTCCTCCACATCATCTGGCTGTTCTGCAACCGACTGAGCGTCTGCGACGTAGCACGGATCATAACCATCAGCACCGGCTGTGTACGGTCCATCTTCTCCTCGATCCGAAATTGCATGCTTGAAGACCTGTTCGACAACGGTGCACGTAGAAAGATTGGTGGGGTCGGCTGTATAGTGGAGATTGACGAATCCAAATTCGGTAAACGAAAATATAACAGAGGTCGACGTGTAGTCGGAAAATGGGTGCTGGGTGGGTTCTGTAGGACTACTGGCGAATGCTTCTTAGTGGAGTGTACCGGCAATCGACCCGATCACAACACCCTAATCACACTCATCAAGGAGCACGTTCTACCGGGTACAACTATTCTCACCGACAAGTGGAAAGGTTATAACGCCCTGCAACACCGCGGATTTCCTCATCAAGTTGTCAACCATAGTCGAGGATTTGTGGACCCGGTCACTGGTGTTCACACCAACAGCTGCGAAGGGATGTGGTTCCACGCTAAGAACCACATGAGAAGAGGAACCGGTCGTACCCGAACGGATTCAGCAGCCATGACTGTAGCCCTGTCAGAATTTATGTGGTGTAAGCGATACGGACTGACAAGAGAGGAAAGCCTTCAACCAAGATATCCCAGCCCTATTCAGAAGAATTTTTGATTAATTTATTGCTCTGTAAATTTGTATTACCTGATAAATAATGAGACCTAATTATTTCATTTTCAGAGTTTAAGTCACAATTTCGTATTACTCTAACTCAGTTGATGAAGTAAAATATAATTTGACAAAGTAAAATATATTCGAAGAAATAGTGTTATACTGTTATACATAATTTGTTGTCTTAAACGAATTTGTTGCTTTAATGTTGCCTTAATGTTGCCTTAATGATGCCTTAATGTTGTCTTAATGTTGTCTTATCGTTTGTTGTCTTATTGGTGTTTGTTGCGTTAATGTTGTCTTAATGTTGTCTTATTGGTGTCTTAATGTTGTCTTATTTTTGTGTTAATGTGTCTTATTGGTGTCTTAA